GCAGAGAAGGAAAAGGAAGGGGTACGTTTTGATTTATTCTATTTAAAAAGTGTAGTCTTGGGTATATGAGGAACAGTATAGGTCATAGCTAATAAAATGACTGATTAAAAGATTGTTTCCATATCTACTTTGTTTTCCCTAAAATATGAGTTCTTGAAATATTGGATTTTTGACTTTCTGTCTGTACAATACGTGGACTCCAATGATAGCAGAGAGCAAATTCAATTCTGGCAATTTACGCCTATCTGGAAATTAATCTTCCCAAAGCAATTTCATTCTTTTTTCATTTAAATACACCTAGACAATTCTGCATTTCATTTGGGGAAGGGGAAGGTTTGCTTTGCACTCTGCTGTGGAGTTAAAGCTTATGACGTTTCCAATTACTGTCAGAAACTCGCTATGGGTAAAGATGTGCATTTGGCTCACAGAGTTTATTCCAATTCTCTCCTCTGATAGAATCTGGAAGACTGCAGTTGCCCAGAGGCCAATTTCAACTCAAAGAATAGTAGCAGCATTGTGGTCCAAAATAAATCCAAACTGAAATAAAGTCCAGAGCCAAATCAAAGTTGTAGAGCCAAGGAATGGAGCCAAAAGGTCAAGCCGTGTCAAGAATTAAGAGTCAAGTCCGATTGTTTAGGAAAAGAGAGACTAGGAATATGGCTGGAGGCTCAGCAAGCCAAGATGGACATAGCAGTAGGCTACTTAAGGACATCATGCACACTAACAAGCAGAATAAACTCAATTCAATTAGTACCTAAAGGTGAAACTCCCTTATTTTTCCTTTCTCAAACAACAGAAGAACAGAAACACAGCCATTCTTCAAAATTCATGACTTTCTGAATTTTGCAGTGCAGTTCTCCTACCAAACAATGTTTACCAAAAAAATGCATATATTAGGAAGAAGTTTACCTATAAATATAATAATGGGATTATATGTGGATTATACATGGGGGCATGGCTAGCGTAATTGTGCAGATCACTGAAAACTGCATATAAAAATGTGTTTATTAGGAGAAATTCATACTAAAATGTTGATGAAATTTTGTGAAGGTTTTTTAAAATTACAAATCCCCACAGAAGTGTGAAGAACTGAATGTTATGACTACAAAAATGAGAAAATGGAGAACCAAAACTGACAGATCAATCCATCCCTACAATGGAAGCAACACCAGACAGAAGCAAGGGATGGAGATTGGCTGAATCACAGGGGACCAGTCATGTTAACAGCAATGCCTACTGCTTTTATAAACCAGATCTCACAGTCAGCGAAGTGCCTAATTAAGCATTTGCTGACATGATGAGAGTCAAGCCTGGTGAGATTTCGTGCAAGCCCCCGTCACTTGGATGAGAACTCTGTGCACTCTGGTACTGGAACCTAGGGCTGCAATCATACACTCACACACTAGGAAGTGCGTCCCGCAGAATATACTGGGCCCACTAATATTAGTTCATCTCCAAGTGAACTTTCCAGCAGGGTTACTGGCAGCAGTAAGCTGCCCTAATCATCAGAAACATGCAGCAGGCACCTGCAAACCACTCACCATTTTGACATTCTCATAGTCGCCCAATACTCCTTCAGAGCCTTTGGAAAATGGCAGCTTCCCAACCATTCATTACTATCAATTGGGGGGACGGGGACAGAAGGGGCGGGAGTGTGTCTGGGTTCAGCTTTGGAGAGCTGGGATTCTTGAGTGGGCGAGGGGGGGACCTCTGCTGCACTTGCCTGCTACCACCCTGGATGATAGATCTCGGCACCAGTGTCATTTTGCCAGGGAGAAAGGAGGAAGCCTTGATGGAGATACACAGGGCCGGATTTAGCTTTGATGAGGCCCTAAGCTACTGAAGGTAACGGGGCCCTTTATATGTCCAGCTGTCCTTTGTCAACAACAAATTGTCACTGTTTTTTTTGTGTTGAATATGCTATATGATAATTTATGGACCTAATAAGTATCTAAAACCAGTGATACTTTAGGGAGCAGGCTAGCAGGCAGGGCCTATTACTTACATCATAGGAGCCTACACAACACAAAACACTGTGTGCAAGTTTTATTTTATTGTTTTTTTATCTTATATTTTGGAAATGTACATCCAGGTTTTTTTCCTTTAATTTTTCTGGGGGCCCCCAAGAGAGTGGGGCCCTAAGCTATAACTTGTTTAGCTTATACGTAAATGCCGACACTGCAGAAACACAAACAGTTGCACATGCCTGTTCGGTGATGTAATGTGTGTGCAATCATAAAATCCGGTCTCAAGTTGTCCAACATAAGGCACTGAAATGAAACTACATATGATAGCACTTTGTTAGAGAACATTTAACCTTTGCAAAATGCCCTTGACCAAATAACACACGGTTCCGGTTGCGATCTTTCGTTTTCTAGAATCAAAGAGGCTGGGCTAAAAAGGCAGGTCCTATCTGGGGTCCTCTGCGTCTTCTGTCAAGAAATGCAGCTCTTACAAACAACAGATAGGTAACATGGGGACTCCCTGCCCTGCTCCCAGTTGATAATGGCTTTTCCAGCTCTGAGATGTTAGGAAAACCGTAAAATATGGGTTTGTTTGCAACTTGCAATAATGGCAAAGCTTGCCTTAGGAGAACTGTTTTATCATAAGGTGAAATACAGTGTAAATGAGCCCTAAAATCAGTATATTGTAGCAAAGGAATTATTGTGTCCAGGAGTTTGCTTCTGATCCTCCCGGTGTCCCATTTGACTCTTTGGATGTGGCTGGATCAATATAAAGCATTTTGTCTTAGATACTTTCAAAGGGTAATCTTTCAATAGTGCTTCAGGAGCCAAAACAAGAAGACATTTGCTCATCCAGCAATGTATCCTTATACCCAGGAGCTAAACATCCATGGCTGGTAACAGTTAAATAATAAGAGTGCTAGAAAACAAAAGCTTTTGCATTGTGTGAAGATAAAATGTGTGTTATGTTTCTGTTTCCCAGCTCTGAGAAATATATAGTTTTCTGTAACAAACATACAATAACAAAAATATGCATTCCTTATTCCAACAGTCAAGCTCTAAAACTATGCAAACTCAAGGCCAAATTAGATGTGATTCTAATTACTCTGAAGCCTGTCAGGTGCTTTTAAAATATTCTAATAAGAATAAGAATAAATACATATAGTTTCCCAATTTTCATTGGGAACAGACTACAGAGTGCACGCAAGTTTCACCCTTTTCTCCCTAGCCACTACCACAATTACCTATTGTGGGGAGTCATCGTCCCTGACTAATATGAGTCCTGAGGGAAGATTTTCATCAGGATCATAGCTAGAGAAGAACCAAGGAAAATGACCCTCCCTACATGCTGGCTATTAATTTTAAAAAATCTGCCACATTGCCAAATGTCTAGAGTCATGTCTGGTGCCCAATCATAAACAATATGGAAAGTCTCCGGTTATTTGTATTTAGTTGTTTCCCCCCCCCCCACTCCTATCTACCAGCTAGGAATAGCATAGGAGAAGTGGGGTGAAGGATTCTCATTATTTCAGTCCAATCAATAATTCCCCGAGGCTGAAGATAAGCAAGTACAAACACAAAAATTTGATATACCAAAATGCAAATTGTACTGTTCACATCCCATTGCTAGTATATTGCATGTATGAGGGAGAATCTGTCAGAATGAGCTATGTTGCTGGAATGATTAAACTTCAGGAGGACTTTCTGGCAGTAAGACCTGTTCGACAGTGGAATGGACTCTCTTGAGAGGTGGTGGGCTCTTCCTCCTTGGAGGTTTTTAAACAGAGGTTGGGTGGCCATCTGTCATGTATGATTTCATTGAGATTCCTATATCACAGGGGGTTAGATTAGATGACCCTCGGGGTCCCTTCCAACTCTACAATTCTATGTTTCTATGATTTATTTGTACACTTGGATTTAAGTAATTTCAGTCACCATAAAAGGCACAGTTTAAAACAACAGCCTCATTTGAGGTCTAGGGCTCATGCAGTCTTACTCACCCTCTGATATGGCCATGAGGAGATGTACAAACGTTTCCATTTCTATTGTATATTGGCATGACATCTGATCCTGGACAAACTGTAGTTAATCTTAACTAGTTACTTGAAACAAGCCAATGCAGTTTATGGAACTAGCTTACTTCAATTTACCATAGTTAAGATTAACCTGATTTTGTTGTTCAGATGACATGCTGAACTATGGTAGACCTAAATGAAAGGAGAAGCTACCAATGCCCTTGAAGTCATGCAAGAGGAAGAGAGGGGAAGTTCTGTGGCTCCTTCTCATAACTGTGGTTATACACCTCATGTTCACAATCTATGAACTGTGTTACGAAGACAAGAGAGCAATGAAGAAATAATTCAGAAATTGGATGAGTATGAGATGGCAGCAAATGTACAAGTAAGGCAAAGCTTGGGTGACTCTGGAGGTGAAGAAAGTGGTCTCAAAATAGGATTTGAGGGAGGAGAGTATGAAATCTGGTTGAAAACAGATTGTCCTGGACAGAGGGAGCAATACTGCAGATAGCACAGAGGAGCAGAGGGGTGGAAAATGAGGTCAGTGAACCAGTGTCAAGCAAAGAGATGTGGACAGAGATGTGGAGAGCTTTCAACATAAGTCTTGAAGCTGAAAGTTAAGGCAACAGACAGCAGAGTGTTGAGATTTCGTGAGAAAAGTGGCATCATGGTGTCATGATATACTTCTGGAGGTGCTTTGAACTGACTGATATGGCAGGGGGAAATTGTGTCAGAAATGAGCAAAAGATAGGAAATAATGGACTTTGGAGGGGATGAAGATGATGAAACAGCAGCATTTAGCAAGTCATTTGTTGGACACCAGGTAGCTACCAGCAAGAACAGTGGTTAGAGCAGTGATGGTAATGGATAAGGAAAATTGAGAGAACGACTGCATGGCAGCTAAAGTTATCCTTGACACTAAATCAGTAATAGGAATCATCTGGTTTCAAGGAGACAACATCATATCTGTAAATAGCAGTTGGAGATTGTGGATTGCGTGCAACAAAGATATCCTGCTTTCAAAAGGGCTTCCACTTGCAGCTCAGACCTTCCCCTCCCTCTCATCTCCCCCCCTCCCAAAATCTGCTCCAGACGGTTGGAGACACAAGGGAAGAAGAGAGGGAGAGGAAGTTCCAAAGTGCAAGTGGAAGTCCCTGCATGGATGGGATGGCTTCGTTCAATACAACCCTGTCTCTGGTACCATTTCTGTTTGTAAGATTTAATTGCAAGTAGGCCTATTAGTGGGACGCGGGTGGCGCTGTGGGTAAAACTTCAGCGCCTAGGGCTTGCCGATCGCATGGTCGGCGGTTCGAATCCCCGTGGCGGGGTGAGCTCCCGTCTTTCGGTCCCAGCTCCTGCCCACCTAGCTGTTCGAAAGCACCCCTAAGTGCAAGTAGATAAATAGGTACCGCTTTATAGTCATAGAATCATAGAGTTGGAAGAGACTACAAGGGCCATCGAGTCCAACCCCGTGCCAAGCAGGAAACACCATCAGAGCACTCCTGACATATGGCTGTCAAGCCTCTGCTTAAAGACCTCCAAAGAAGGAGACTCCACCACACTCCTTGGCAGCAAATTCCACTGTCGAACAGCTCTTACTGTCAGGAAGTTCTTCCTAATGTTTAGGTGGAATCTTCTTTCTTGTAGTTTGGATCCATTGCTCCGTGTCCGCTTCTCTGGAGCAGCAGAAAACAACCTTTCTCCCTCCTCTATGGGACATCCTTTTATATATTTGAACATGGCTATCATATCACCCCTTAACCTCCTCTTCTCCAGGCTAAACATGCCCAGCTCCCTTAGCCGTTCCTCATAAGGCATCGTTTCCAGGCCTTTGACCATTTTGGTTGCCCTCCTCTGGACACGTTCCAGTTTGTCAGTGTCCTTCTTGAACTGTGGTGCCCAGAACTGGACACAGTACTCCAGGTGAGGCCTGACCAGAGCAGAATACAGTGGCACTATTACTTCCCTTGATCTAGATGCTATACTCCTATTGATGCAGCCCAGAATTGCACTGGCTTTTTTAGCTGCCGCGTCACACTGTTGGCTCATGTCAAGTTTGTGGTCAACCAAGACTCCTAGATCCTTTTCACATGTACTGCTCTCAAGCCAGGTGTCACCCATCTTGTATTTGTGCCTCTCATTTTTTTGCCCAAGTGCAATACTTTACATTTCTCCTGTTAAAATTCATCTTGTTTGTTGTTGCCCAGTTCTCTAATCTGTCAAGGTCGTTTTGAAGTGTGATCCTGTCCTCTGGGGTGTTAGCCACCCCTCCCAGTTTGGTGTTATCTGCAAATTTGATCAGGATGCCCTTGAGTCCATCATCCAAGTCGTTGATAAAGATGTTGAATAAGACCGGGCCCAAGACAGAACCCTGTGGCACCCCACTAGTCACTCTTCTCCAGGATGAAGAGGAACCATTGATGAGCACCCTTTGGGTTCGGTCAGTCAGCCAGTTACAAATCCACTGAGTGGTAGCATAGTCAAGACCACATTTTACCAGCTTTTTTACAAGAATATCATGGGGCACCTTGTCAAATGCCTTGCTGAAATCAAGGTAGGCTACATCCACTGCATTCCCTTCATCTACCAGGCTTGTAATTCTGTCAAAAAATGAGATCAGGTTAGTCTGACATGACTTATTTTTCAGAAATCCATGCTGACTATTGGTGATCACAGCATTCCTTTCTAGGTGCTCACAGACTGTTTGCTTAATGATCTGCTCCAGAATCTTCCCTGGTATTGATGTCAGACTGACTGGGCGGTAATTATTTGGGTGGGAAGGTAAACGGCGTTTCCGTGTGCTGTGCTGGTGCTGGCTCACCATAGCAGCTTCGTCACGCTGGCCACGTGACCCAGAAGTGTCTTTGGACAGCGCTGGCCCCCGGCCTCTTAAGTGAGATGGGCGCACAACCCTAGAGTCGGACATGACTGGCCCGTACGGGCAGGGGTACCTTTACCTTTACCTTTAGGCCTATTACAAAGTTAGATAATACTAAGTTCAGTCTTTTGAACTGCTCAAAATCAAACTGGGTCACCCCAAAGCTGATTTGCAGCTTGAAGGGGATAGGGGTGGCAAAACATCTTGGTGGCAGCACTCAGGCACTTAGCCATGTGAAAACAGGCTTCATCTGTCTTAGAAAGGACAGCCACAGTAGATCACAAATAAGAAAAAATATGAGTTCTGCAGTTTATTTCTTGGGTTCAATGGCAAGGGCTTTATCACTGCAGGGGATTGGACTAGATCACCCTTGAGGTCCCTTCAGCTCTATGATTCTGTTTTATTTGAAGGCTATTAAAATAGGAGAGTATTTCATATTGCTATATTTCAATATTGCTTTATGCTGTTGATTGTTGCCTGAGAATTACTGATCAAACTCACAGTGCCAAGTAATGTTGCACATCACACCTATACCATACAATTCCAGCATTTAAAAAAAAAAAATCTCATGACATTGTTTTGCAGACATTTATAGCACTTCCGCACATTACAGCAATTTTGGGCGTGCTGGGTCTTTGCTGCCCAAGAGTCTGTGGTGATGGGTTTCCCTCAGTACTGGCCTCCCATGATCAGATATATGCTTTATGGAAGGGGGGGCAGGAAGGAGGGAGCAATGAATTAGTTAGAGCCAATGTCGGAAAAGATTTTCCTTTCCACAGACAACATCTCCAGAGCTGACCTCTGTCTAAATAGTGTTGTTGTTGTTGTTTTTTAAAAAGAGCTCTTTGCATTTGCAACTGAATGGCTGCACTTCTAGCCTCTTTCACAAGGGCTTTATCTTTGTCTTGCCATCTGATTCACAAGCCAGTTTGTTGCAGAATACACAAAGCCTCAATTTATCAAGACTTCTTAGCTCCTGTCACCAATGCACAAATTTGCATCCTTTTTACAACCTCATTGCTAATTGTTATTTGCAAAAAGGGGCAATGCAGGATGCCAGCAATCACTTTCTGCTATTTTATGAATATTCATGAGTTCTTCATAGACAACACTGACATCAGTATTTACTGCTTAATTTCTTTATTGTGCAGCTCTGTTTCCCTTTTATTTATTGGGGGGTTTTTTCCACTGCTGAGGAAACCATTAGCACAATAATGAAGCCATCTTTACTTCATTGGGCATATATTTTATGGCAAAATATTGCTTGCCTAACCTGCCTTGAACTGTGCCAGTGGTCTATTAATATTAATAGCCAGTAAGAACTTCCCCAAATCTAAGCAGCGGTCTGTAGTAATTCTGGAGCTGCTTACCACAAATCCCTGACAGAGAGATTGGTAGGTCTGGATGCCTTATATGTGGCCAAGCTGCAACAGGATGTAGTTTGAGTGTTGCAATGTAATTTCAGTTCTAGCTTAAGGATTAAATTCAAATGACCAACTTAAATTTAAGTTTTATTATCAATTTGTAGAAATGTAATGCACCACACTAAAAGAGGTTAGCAACCATCTTCCTCATGGGTTCCACACATCAACCCAATCCTAAGAAATGAGGGAGCTGGTGGACAATCAACATAATGCCCTGAGGCATTCAACTTAAAAAGATGGGATGCTCAGGTTAACACCAATTTATTGGCCTCCTTGGAAGTCGCCAAGTAAAACTGTCATTCATATGAATTCCATTCAGTGTCTGCCTGCATCCACTTTAACAGGGAAAGAGAAATGGCTCTTGCTTATTTGCCTATTTTAACTCATTGAAAATAGATCATGGCCCAACAGTATGGGCTGGTTCACACAGTTACTTCTCCTTCACATGTGCAGTTCCACCCAGTGACTGAGAAGTGTGAGCCACAGACAGTACACATGCAAGGCTGCAGCAATTCCAGTGACTCCAGGCTGGGGAAAGTGTTGGTCTGCACTTGCCAAAATTGCTTTTGGCTCCACTCTTTTTGAGCCTGTGTTGCACACATCCCCGTGTGATTGTGGACACGTTAACATGCCAAGGAGAACTCATCGCTGCCCACATGTAGGAGAAACTCATTGTGTGAACTGTGTCTCAGCATAAGCATAATAATAAACTTAGGTTGGCACATGCAGGAGCAAAAAGCAAACAAAAGATCTTAAGGTGCACGGCAAGACTCCTTGGCCAGCACCCAAGAGGCAACCCTGTCTCACAGTCACATATGACCACTTAGGAACATCCTACACTGCCAGAACTAAATTGGAGACAGTGTCCAGAAAACAGGCATCACCTTACTCAGGGATGAACACAGCATTATCCTTTGTGGACGTCCTTACCACAATCTCCATAGGGTCCCATCATTCTCCCCCTAGTAGCATATTGTAGCATTCCACATGGAATGTGGAAGAGTTCAGGGTTTGGATATGCTGAAAAAAAAATTCTGTAGTGCCTGGGATGGTGCACAATTCATTTGCACTGAAGGAAACAATGTGGAAGAGACACAGTAGGGATAAGCCTTGCGGAAGACCTAAGATGAACACCATATGAAGAAGCTTATTAAAGATTAATACCCAGGGATATTTGGTAGCAATTGCATCAGCATCTTACATCTCTCTCTGGTCTAAAGCTGTGTGCTGCCGCTAGCATTTCCATTCGCAGAGATACAAGCTGCTGGCAATTTTACATTGTTTGAAAGGCACACAGTTCTTCAGGATGATTTCTGAAGTGGGCCTGAAAAAGCACATACTTAGTACACATAAGTAATGGTGATGCCTACCAAGACTAATACACTCAAATCTTCCCAATCTACTTGCTATTTTATCCCCAGTAATGGACACAGTGAATTGTTATGTACGGGCACATTAGGTAGCAGACAGCTAGTGCTCTAAATAAAATAAAAGCGCAAACAAAATCATAATTAATGGGACCATTAGCATGACAGCAAATTCAAAGATGACTAGATCATTCAGTACGTGCTTTTATCTGTTAACATCCCTCTTTTAAAAAATGTGCTGTTTTGACATTTTACATTTGCTGTCAACTTGTTTCTGAAACTTCTCTTATTTTCTATTATGTGCATATTGTCTTTTGTTCATCTTTACTGTATTATTCTTTGATGCACAGTTGTTAAGTCATTGAGAGACTGAATATACTCATTACGGCTCTTCTGCTGTACCAAATTAAAGCCTTTTTGAGATTGCCAGCGAAACCTGGAGTAAAAAGCTATCAGTATGCATAAAAAGGGGACGTGTTTGATCACAATAG